ACACCTGTAATCCCAGCCCTGAGGAGGCTGAACACAGGAGAATCACTACAAGTCCGATCTACGTGGTGAGACCCTGTAGACCCTGTCCTAAAATACATTAAAAAAAAAAAAAAAAATTCCAGGGTAGTTACAAACGAGTGACTACTTGCAATGGATTACATGTTGGACTACTGAAATCCTAATCTACAACATGATGCCGTGTTTAGAGATGAGGCCTTTGGAGGTCATCAGATCTGAGGGTGGAAGCCCTCACAAAAGGATTTGTGCTGTCATAAAAAGACCATACTTCTGTGGTCCCTACTCTGTCATGTGAGGATACAGGAAGTCAGCCATGTCATCTGCAAGCCAGAAGAGGGCACTCACAGGGCGTGACCATACTTGTACACTGACACAAACTTCTAGCCTCCAGAATTTCTGAAATGTAAGTCTGTTTTGTACAAGCACCCCAGTTTGTTACTGTGTTACAACAGCCCAAAAAAGGTTAAGAAAGTATTAAAATAGTATTATATAAACACGGATTTGGGCTGGGGAGATAGCTCAGTAGAGCAAGTGCTTGCCTAGCAAGCACAGAGTCCTGAGTTCAATTCCCGGTACCACAAAAAAAAATAAAATTAAATAAATAAATAAATAACCATACATTTCCCTTGGTTAAATTATTTTACTAGGCAAATCTGACTTTTTGTAAGATAGAAGTTCCATCGTGATTAAATGGTTCTTATCAGAGCCGGCCACATATATATATATATATGTGGTTCTTACCTCCAGCCAGCATGGCAGTAAGCACTATTCCACAGGACCAAACATCAACTGGTTCTGCGTGAAATTCCTTTCTCTTCAGAAGTTCTGGAGCAACATAAGGTAAAGTACCACACATCTTGTTCAATAAACGCTCACGATTATTATGCCGAAACACAGTAGCCAAGCCAAAGTCAGAGATTTTGAGGTTATCTACACAAAAAGGAAAAAAATGAGCACTGAATAATAAAATCTGCAAACTGATACATGCACAGAAACTAGGTTTCACTGGAAATATTGGTTGGTGGTGTTTCTAGACTCTTCTACCTTGAAAGATCCAACAGGAATTTTTTAATTTAAAAAAAAAAAAGTAAAAGATGTCACCCACACAAAAACTTGGAAAGACATCTTCATCTTTTCTCTTAAAGAGAAATACCATGAACACACAAACAATTTGCATGAGGTTAATGAAAGATACTGGAGTCAGCAGGGGCTGCCCTGCTAGAAAAGGACACTACAAACTTGGGTTGAAAGAAGACAAAGCCCTTCGTCAAGAAGTGTGAAGGGTAGCAAGGAGACTTAAGTAACACACGGCACAACTTTCACAAGCAGCAAACAAACTCAATTGGCAAGACAGTTGTTAAGACAAGTATGTTAAGATGTTTCAAACTGGAGGTTCAGAAACTGTGACTTCTTGTCAAAGTAGCTACATGGGGGATTGAAAAATGCTACACAATAAACAAACCAGAACAAAAAACTTTCACTTACCTTCCCCTCTTCAGCATAAACAAAGTGCAGGCAAGACTTTCAACTTATACTTAGTACATGTCTACTGTACCCAAGAGACAGATGTTATACAAGCCAGGGTAGAAGATAGGAGAAACCCTCTGGCATCAGAGAATGTCAATAGCTACAATCTAGTCAGAGGCCAATTTGGCTGAACAAAATTTGATATAGTCACTCGATGGAACTAGCAATTCTCACTTGTAGAGTCATAATCACAGAAATGAACTCAAGGGCCAGACAAATAGCTCAGCAGATTAAAGCATCTGTAAGCAGGCACAGGGGCTGGGGTTCCATCCCCGGGTCGGTCCCCAGGGCGTGCTGAGACAGTGAATGAGACTGGGTGTGGTAGCAGGAGCCTATAATCCCAGCACTTGGGAGGCTGTAAACAGGAGAATCACTATGAGTCCCATATAGTAGCGAGACCCTGAACACCCTGTACATGCTTCCCTAAAATACAGGAAAAAAAAAAGAAAAAAGAAATCAACTCAAAACTTATAAAGTTAATCCATAGCAACATTATTTTTTAATAACTTTTTTTTTTTTTTTTGGTGGAACCAGGGATTGAACTCAGGCCCTTGCGCTTGCCAGGGAAGTGCTTATTCCACTGAGCCATCTCCCTGGCCCCCAATTTTTTACCCATCAATAAATTATTAAATCTTACAATGTATGTATATAATGAAAACTATGAAAGCAGTTAAGAAAAACAAGGGGCCAGGGAGATAACTCAGTAGAGTAAGCACTTGCCTGGCAAGTACAGGGTCCTGAGTTCAATTCCCAGTACTGCAAAAAAAAAAAAAAAAGAAAGAAAGAAAGAAAGAAAGAAAGAAAGAAAGAAAGAAAGAAAGAAAAACAAGTTATAGGGTCAGCCAGATAGTTCAGCGGACTAAAGCGCCTGCTTAGGTAGAGCACAGGGACCGGGATTTGATCCTCAGCATGAGGTGCTGGCCTGCCCCCAGGGCACACTGAGACAGCCTTTGAGACTGAGTGTGGTGGCACACACCTGTGATCCCAGCACTTGGGAGGCTGAAAACAGGAGAAACACTATGAGTTCATCTATGTAGAGACCCTGTAGACCCTGTACCAAATACATTTTTTAAAAAGTTATGAAAAACAAGTCATATCTATATGCACTAACATGGAAGAGGATGTAAGTGGCAAAAATGGCCAGCAGCATAACCAGTATTTTTACACAAACCAGTTTTTATACTGTACCTGTGCACAAACATATAAAAGTCATTGTTGTTCTATTATTATGTTTATCTGTACCCAACTTTGAGAGGTAACTTTTGTGGTTATATCCTTTTATTAGATATGTAATACTATCTAAAATAAACCACTAGGGGCCGGGGAGATAGCTCAGTGGAATAAGTGCTTCCCAGGCAAGCACAAGGGCCTGAGTTCAATCCCCGGTTCCGGAAATAAATAAATAAATAAATAAATAAATAAATAAATAAAATAAAATAAACCACTTATACTTAGTTCCAAATCACTTGTAAACTATAATCACTTAAATTAATGGATTATAATCGTATATCCCTTGTATGTTGTGGTTTTTTTCTTTCTTTTTTTTTTTTGGTGGTACCAGGGATCGAACTCAGGACCTTGTGCTTGCCAGGCAAGCACTTATTCCACTGAGCTATCTCCCCAGCCCAGTTGCGGTTTTATTATGTCTGCAGTCTGATATTTGGTTAGGATATAAACTGTATGTAATAAATTCAAAATTAAGGCATGTGGCTATCTCTGGGAAACAGAAAGGAAAAACATACTTATGAAGGAAAATACATACAGAAAGACAAAGTACTGGTAACATTTTATTTCTTTAAAATATTAGTAAATACTGAATTGAAACAAAATACTTACATATTATACATGAATAACACTACAATGAATATCTACCTACCCAACAGCTAGTTAAGAAAAAGGACATTCCATTTCCTGGAAATCCCTCATAACTGCTACCCTGAATGCACTCCCTCCCCTACCTTCTCAGAGGTACCCATCATTTTGAATTTTTTTTTCAATTTCATTGGTATATTTTTAGATATACATAATGGTAACATTCATCATACGGAACTGGCACCTGTACATGTTATATCTTGCCTCTTTTTCCAATTCTCTCTCCTCCTTACCTTTTATTATTCTTTTGCTTTTTTATGTAATTGTTTTTCCCTTGTTCATATTCCTAAGTAACATACAGTGTTACCCACTTCATGAATGCTTTCGTTTGCAAACAATTTAGTTAACAGAAGAACTTGGCAAAATGTTGTTTCTGTTCTAGGTCCGATTTCTCTACTTTACCCACATCTATATCATGAAAAACTTGTGGGGCTGGAGAGACGGCTCAGTAGAATAAGCGCTTCCTTGGCAAAAGCAAGGGCCTGAGTTCAATCACTGGCTCCACAAAAAAAAAAAAAAAATTTCCTTGTCAGACTTTGTCCTAACATTTCAGTAAGGCAAAGGCTTGATCCTGAATAGCTGTATTAAAATGTATCGCTTACCCCTTTCATCCAAAAGGAGATTTTCTGGCTTAATATCCCTGTGAGTGATTCCAATACCATGCAGATAAACCTAAGGGAAAGGAAGACAAACTATACTAGAATTTGGAAATTACTTTACTCATAGCAATTTTAAGGAAAAGGAAAAGAAACGACTGTACCTACCACCCCTGCCATGAGTTGGTGGAAGAACCTCTGAGCATCTTGTTCAGGCATGCCAATATCTGGCTCTGGAAGAATTAATTACCAAAAGTATGTTACTGGATAAATTTTATCAGGCATCAACCACATAACTTCTTAATTCAAACTTAGACATTTAGGATTATTCTTTACTAAACAGAATCTTACAGTAACAAAAGATTCAAGAATCCATTAACAAATAATGATTATAGAAAAATTATAGAATGATTATAGAAAATGATTATAGAAAAATTACAGGGGTCAGGGAGATGGCTCAGCAGAAAAAGCCTCAGTTCAATCTCCAGTTCCGCCAAAAAAAAAAAAAAAAAAAAAAAAAAAGACAAATTACAAAGAAAAACTATCATTGAAATCCAAATGAAAGGCATGCCTTGAATGCTATTTTATTCTTAAACTAACCCAGATTTACTTGGTATCCTTCAAATTCTCCCTATTCTTTATAAGTACTAAGCTAGAATTTTTCTCAAACCTGAGATAAAACTGACAATGTGAAATCCTAGGGTTCAAGTCAATTTCATCAAAATTTGAACAGATTTAAGCTTCATAAAAATCTCTTTAACTACAAAGCCATGAATGCCTATGAAATTCCTTCAGCAAAGTTTTACTATGAAATGTTTTATTGTTAGTTTTATTTTTATATTTTTATCTCACTCATCAATTCTTGATTTACTCTCAATTTACTCTTGACATTCACATTGGTGATTCTAGTAGTCAACTTTTAACTAATAAAATAGCTTTAAATAATACAATTAGGTCCACAGGGCCAGGGAGATAGTTCAGTAGAATAAGTGCTTGTGCCTGGCAAGCGCAGGGTCCTGAGTTCAATCACCGGTACCACAAAAATAAATAATAAGATTAGATCCACAGAATATATTTTATGTCCTTCTCAGTGTTCTGTAATAAACATCTGAGTCTGCATAGATTAGTTAAGTACCAAACTATATATATATATATATAAAACTATATATATATAATACAGATACACACATATATATATAAATTGTAGAAAACTATCAACTTTTTAACTTAAAGAACTACAACATGCTATTATCTTGGATCTGAAAACACATACAACGATGCTATCTTAAAATATCTACAAAGAAAAAAATTACACAGGCAAATAATACACTGGATTTATGACAATACCTAACCATAAAACCAGTTTACCATTCTTAAACTCCATAAAATAGGAATCCCAAATAAGATCCTTAAATAACTTAAAAAGTTTTCTTCCACTGACTTTATTAATATATGCTATTAACATAAATTGACCAAAAAAGACAAGGAAAATGATCAAATAGCTACCCAAGGTTAAAAATACATATTTAAGAGCTTTTTTATTTTTTTTAACCAGAGAAGTATCTTAAATTGTTTGCATACCTATTCTATCAAAAAGCTCTCCCCCACTACAGTACTCCAAAAACAGATACTGGATATTGCCTTCTCTCCTGTGACCATAGAATTTCACTACATTTTCATGATTTAACATTTTATTGATGCAGATCTCTTTCTTAATGTTTTCTGGGCCATCTACGGCACGCTTCATGTCAACAATCTTCACTGCAACTGCTTCTTCAGTTATTCTATTCACAGCAAGCTGAACTCTAAAACAAGAAAAAGAATTATCTCATTCCAGACGTTTGAATTTTACCTTTTTCTTAAACTTCAAAAGATTAAACACCAAAAACTATTTTACATTTACTGTTTTCTCCACTAAAGAGAAACCAAGTAAATGGTTTCTACCAAGTTCTCAAGAGATACTTTTTTTTTTTTTTTTTTTTTTAGGCAAGGGTTTACAGGATGTTCAGGGTCTCAGTACT